CACTGAGTCAAGCAAAAACATCTATAAAATGTATCACAAATAGTAAAACTAAACGCAATAGCTTATCATCTCAAAGATATAAAAAAAAGTTAATAATACAAATAAAATGCATAAAATATTATGTGAATACAACATAGAAAATCTAAATTGTACCCAAAAGCAACAATTACATTACATAATTTTCCTTACAATATGAGAATACTACACCAGAGCTTCATAATGCACTAAAATGAATTAGAGATAAGGTCTAAGAATATATCAATTTTAAAAAAAAAACAAGTAATATTAAAATCTTATTTTAGAAAAACCTCTTAATTGAAATATATATAATTTTGATGTATAAGAAAATTATTAATTTATATATTAAGTGAGACTTATGTGTTTTTTTAAAAAATATATTATCTTATAAATTTAGTAAATTATTGATTCATAGTTGGGACCGACCACATTTTAATCGAGATTATTAATTTATTGAGTATTAATTAATTAAGATTTTATTGTATAAGTAATAGAAATATTTTTTTGTTTTTTATTTTACACACGTGATATATGGAAATTACTCAAATATATCTTAAATTGTATTCTATTATACTTTTATTCTGTAATTTTTGAAAAAAAAGATGTTTTTGTGTTGAAATTAAATATTTCATGGACAAGTGAAAAATAATTGCATTTATTTTTATTACAAACAAGTAACATTGGCAATAATATATATAATTCCCAAGCCTTAACTTATGAAAATCTGAAAAAAAAATGAAATTGAAATTATTTTCATGCTGTTATATGTAATTTTAATATTGGACATAGAAATTTTGAATTTTGAATAAAATGTTGAATTAAGAAAACCAATGTAGAAAACTTTAATTGACAATACTAATTTTTTAATCATACCGCAAAAATTAAGTAAATCTGCATGATAAGAAATTATAACGTTGCTACAGTTATTAATTAATAGAACTTTTTTAAGTAAAAAACTATTAAAATTATTTTAAAAATTAAATTAAATTAGAATTTGACTAACATAGCATTAAAATTTTAATATAACATTGCTGTATATGCTAACATGCAAAGAAATCTTAACCAAGTTAAATATTTTTAATCGAAAATCATTGAATAGAATTAGAATTCCTATTTAAAAACTGACCATCTATAAATCTTATCAATATTTATATTCATTAAAAATTATTTAAAATAAAAATGTTTAAAAATATAATGAACAAAAATATTTGTTTTCAATAACTAAAAGTTTAAGTAACCTTTACTAAGAGTCTGCTTGACTTTTTTTATTAATTTAAAAATTATTATAAAATTCTTATAAAAAATAATAAATTTTAAAAATAAGTGTTGTTTGGTAAATTTACTTTTATAAGTTCTATAAATCTTTTTTATATATAAATTGTTTGACAAAGCAACTTATTTATATAAATTCTAAGTTTGAATAAAATTACCTTAAACCCTAAATCTAAAATAAATAAATCAAATCCTAAACTAATCAATTATTCTCATCATAGTTTTTTCAAAAGAAAAAGAAGAAATAGTATTTAAATACAGTTTTGAATTTTGAATAACATTAAGAAAAAAAACTTCAGATTTTGCTATTTTTTTACTCGGTGTTTTGTTTTTTTTTCTAATAATTAATCACGATTTGTATTGAAAAGATATGATTTGCAAAAAGAGAGAGGACTGTGTTTTTTAAATAAGGGAATGGAACGTTCTCTCTGTAGCTTTTCCCCAAGCTCATTTTTATTAGATTTTGTTCTTAAAGAAAATTGTTTTTTTTTCAAAGACTTCTCAAAATCCTAATTCTTTTGCTTTGAAGAGATAAATTGAAAGTCATTGAATAGATAATAATTAAATTAAATTATAATTTTAATTTAATTTAGTTTATATCCAAATTTAAATATATATTAACAAATGTAAAAATTTAAATCAGATTACACTCTTGTGTTTGGTTTACTAGATAATTTAATCTGTTTAGATTATTTGATTTGGTCTGAACTCTTACATATATTTGTAATAAATAAATCTAATTAATACTTAAAAGTTATAATAAAAAAAATTGTCTATTTTCGTTGATTCCTTCATGATGGAAATCTACATCTTAGCTAGGTAGACCACTTATACATTCAGACATAAAAGTAAACAAAGTGTTTACCTGCAAAGAGAGGCCAAAGAAGAGGACAGATTGGCAGGCACTAGCTAGGTAGCCAAGAATGAAAAGCTTAGCCGACTGCCATGGAGGCTATGGATATGGATAAGAGCATACCCGAGGCAAACCCATTGTGAAGAAAGAGATATTGGCGCGGCTCAATCTGAAATGAATTCCTATGCTCCTAGCATAAGCCCATCCTTCAGATTGAACCTCACCAACATCGCCTTCAATCTTCATCTTAAACCAAATTCATAGAGATGGGGAAGAGGTGCAAACTCATCTCCAGAAGTGGAAAGTTTTGGTCTGAAAACACATGCTGTATATGCTATCTTTGGTTGGAAATATAACACTGTTTTTGGGTATGGTGGGGTGGGAGGAAGTAGGAAAGGTGGTGGAAAAGTGGAAACTGAAGTCATGAACACGTAAAAGGGCGAAGGAACTGAAGGAATTCATTGATCCTATCCATGACCTTGCCTGCCACTCAACAATTTCATTGTCATGCTTTGCACCTCCTGGGAAAACCCTATACAGGACAATGATAAATGATATCAATCAGAAGAACAACTTTGGTTTATTTTCAGATGAAGACCTCCACTAACACAATACTTAGACAACAAGCATTATATAAGGTTAATTCTTTGTCTTTACCTTGCTTGTTTGTGTGGCATAATAAATGATTATATGATGTTAACTGTTTAACTGTCGTATTGATGATGCAAGAAGGACGAGAAAAAAAAAATCTTATTCTTATTTATACTCTCCAAAAATTGCTAGCAATATTAGTTTGGTGCAATTATACCGATGTTTTATAGGTATAGTATTTTCTTTTCCTTTCTCTTGTTAATTCAAGAATTTTCGGATTAATTGTACCCATTTACGAGGTGATACCAATGTTTTATTGGTATAGTATTTTTTTTTCCTTTCTCTTATCAATATAAGAAATTTCCGATTAATTGTACCCACTTACAAAATGATATCAATGTTTTATAGGTATAGTATTTTCTTTTCCTTTTTCTTCTTAATAGAAGAACTTTTTGATTAATTGTACCTATTTACGAGATATTATTTATTTTAAAATTGAGCTTTGAAAATTTTTTTAAAAGTATTTTATTTGGAGAAGAGGTATGTTCTTGTTTTGAGGGAAGAAAGATTCAAATCTATACCTTTTAAGTAGAGAGATTTTGTATTAATCAACAAGTCAAATGTTTGAGTATTTTTTTTCTTATATTTTAGTTAATTGAATTTCTATTTGATAAATTTTTTGGGTTCAATATTTTCATTTCCTTTCCTTTGTTGATTTAAAGAGTAA